TGATCTATACAGATGCTGTGGAGCCAGGACAAAGTAACGTGCTGCTGCTTCCAGTAGAATGTGCTTTTCCCCCCTCACACCCCATGTCTGTCAGCGCCCAAAGTTCCTATACATCCTCCTCCACCGAAGTATTCATTGCCTCTTATATTGGCTACAAAAAGGGCAGTCTTGGCACTTTTAACCCCACATTTATGTAGTCTGTGTGGGCTTTGCAAGGTTATTGTGGCAAAATAGTTAAGTAGTTGGTTTTGTACTTGGCGCTGAATGGGCATGGATCACATGGAATCTATCCTTTGAACTTTCTGTTAGTCCCACATCCCTTGGTTGGTCTTTTCTACCAGCCTCAAGCTAGGTTTAGTTGCCTGATTAGAAGACAGACAAAATATCTTTGTAAGGGATGAAATGTATCCCTTAGAAATAAGCAGTATTTGGTCAAAATAGCTACTTAAGCTATTGCATCCAATATTACATACTGCTCTTTCATATTGTTGTAGATAATCTGGCTTGGTTTAATTGTCTATAGTTATGCAAAAGTTATTAAACTTGCTTGTACCTCCACACCTATATGGCAGCCATGCTACGGCCAAGAGTATGTCAGTGTTTTTTTTTCCTTTGCTTCAAAGAAGTAAGGGGTAGGAAAAAGCCTGTCACTAAAGTAAAGACCTGATCTAACTCACCTGAAAACTTCAGATTCAGATTAATTCATTTCCAGCCCTACCGCTGAGACAGAGTCTCCAGGGGCATTTATATGCATACTTTTTTTCCCCGGGACATGCCAGAGATCTGCTGCTTCGATAGAGTCTGCTCCGCATGCGAGCTGAGCCAAACTGCACTGCACTGCGTGCAATTCTATAAGTGGTGGAATGTGCATCAGCGTGCAAAAAATGGGAGTGGTATGCTTTTGAACGAAAGCACCTCCAAGGTATTTCAGGTCAAAAGCATGCTGCCACCATTTTCTCAGTGCTGACATACATTTTGCCACATGTGTAAAAATGCCCCAGCAGATTCCTCGCCTCTTTTTCCACCAAGCATGTGAAGCACTAAAATATCTTCGTAATTACACAAAAATGTACATTTATTTTATCCAGTCTGGGCTACAGCCAAGAGAACTTGGGTGGAACTGAGGCACCTATGTCCAAAACGTGCACAAAATATCCTGCTGTTCAGCTGCTGCCTAATTCTAGAGGCATCTGCATTCAACTAGGAACCTTGTTTTTACCTCCCTGTTTGACTTTCTCTAGACACCTATAATTTTGATGTTGTCCTAGATCTGCCCAGTCTAATGAATTTTGTGTTAATAGTAACCATAAAATGTATACAGCCCTGGGAGTAGCGCTGGAACACAGGACTCTCCTCTGGACTCCCATTTCAGTACCTGTAACAACTGTGCTAGAGTCATACTCCTGTTTGTTTTTTTCCCTTTCTCCTTTCCTCTCTCACTTAATAAGTCTTGCATTCTTTGCAACAATGTTACAGCAGACTACACCCCACCTGGCAGACAGCTCACTCCCCTAGTAGGCTGTAGTCTTAAAAAGTAGACACCACTACTACCCTCCTCTTTGCATCTTAAAAAGAAGCTAGTGAGGCTTGCTCAGTTGTTTGATAGACTTGTTGTAGGAATCTACCCTCAGGGAAGAATTTTAGGTCATGGGTCCCTTGCACTTGTCCTTGGCATTTCCTGTTGGCAAACACTAGACAGCCCCCAATTCTTTCTTGCAATGTTTTGGAAGCCTATGTAAACAAGAATTCTGGATTCTACTCCAGAGCCATGATGATGCCTGATGCTACCTGCTGTTGCCCAGAAGTAATTTATCAGATCTAGTTATTTATTTTATATTTGTTCAGCACTCTGTGTTGTTAAGGAACATGCTGTACTCTAATGTAACTAAAATAAGGAACAAAATATGCTTCACCTGCTCTCGACACTCTGCAAAGAGGGCAGTCACCAGTCTGCCTGGCCATACAGACATACATGAGCTAGCTCAGTAACAGAAGCAGTGTAGTGTCCAAGCAGGGATAATTAGCCTGGATGGAGAGGCAGGCTGATGCAACTGTACTACTTCCAGAATCAAGAAATGCAGCAGTCAGCATAGTAGGTAGGTGTCAATTGGGCATCTCATTCATAGAAAGCAGATGTGCATGAGAGGCACCTCATGGGTTTCTTAAAATGAATAGGAAATGGGCCCTTTGGAAAGCACTGGATAATACAGGTATTAATGTGCCATGTGATATGAAGTCTCCTCCACCACTTAAGATTTTAGGCCTCCATCCAAGAACAAGCATTCCTTTTCTGCTCCTTCGGGAAGAACAAACCATTTCAGGAGACTGATGAAGAGGAAAATTTAGTTCTGATATTTCAATATGGACAGGCCACACATACAGCTAGAGCACTGAACAAGCAAAGCACTTTTAGCAGGGAAGCACCCTTATAGGCAAAACTGACTTTCTCTGGTAAAACCAATCACTGAACATGAAGCAAACTATGCTAGTAGATACAGTTTTTCTGTGCTGAGAGAAGTCCTATATTCTTTTGGGGTTTCTACTGGGATACTTACTTTCTTCAGGGATCAGACTTTAGGTGGACATATGCTCCAGCAAAAGGGTTGTGCGTGGATCTGGCTACCACAGGACCACAAAAATAACAACAGCCTTTCTGCTTGTCCAAGGATTTTGGTCAAGGAGAGAGAGAGTGCTTAAGAGATGATCATTTCCAAAGAGCCTGAAGAGGTAGAGTCAGCCAAACACCCCAATTCTATATTTTTATAGGACAGCTTCTAACAGGCCTGAAGCAGAAGCCACACACCAGTGGTTCCCAACCTTTTTTTTTCCGTGCCCTGCTGCTGGGAGCGAAGTGCTGTGGTGGCAGCCTGGGAGGAGAGGCAGAAGAGCTCCTGGCACGTGGCACGGTTCATCTTTTCTGTGCAGTGCCACCGGCACTGCCCCTGCGACCCTCATTTGGGTCACAACCTGGGGTTGGGAACTGTTGCCATACATGGTCCTTTGACGTTTTCAACATTACAGGAGTGAACAAGTTAAGCCTAATCTTCCCATGTTCTCATGAAGAATGCTTTCTTATGGTTAAAATCACCTCTAAAAAGATGCAGTAAAATAAAGTAGAATCAGAAAAATTGGGATGGAAGGGAGGTCATCTAGTCCAAGCTACTGCTAGAGACAGGCTCATCCCTGACTAAACCATCCTAGTCTAGTATTTGTCTAACACACTTAACTTTGTTCTCAACTTCATTACCCAAAGAACTCTTTGAAACACTTCACTTCTAGCACTTCTCCTCCACTACAGATTTGTAACCTTGAATTTTAGGATTTTTAATTTAAAGACACAGTATATGGAAATGTATTACTATGGCCTTGATTTCAGAGAACAGAAAGGTGCTTCATCTGTGTATTTAAATACCAACATTAAAGGTAACTGCTAGTCATTTTATCGGAAGTTACAGGCAGAATAAATGCTTAAAATTCTCCCCATACTGAACAGACTACAATGCTTCAAAATGTATTTGGGATCTTCCAAAGAAGTTGATGGTTCCCAGTGGACAGTTGTCACCATCTAAAAAACTGCAACCACCATTCACATGCTGACTTGCAATCCAACCAAATAAGTTAATGAGCAAACAAAAAGGAAGGTCAGGTTATTCTCTTACTCAGGACAGCGTTGACTCTTCTTGGTAGTAGGGTGTAGAAAAACCAACCCTGGTGCTTTCTAGTTTCTTTTCTATGAAAGAACACACTGAGGGAACGAGGACTTTTACTTCAATGTAATTTACTTGGACTACATTCACTTATTTTTCAAAAAGTGTTTAGTACAACTTATTTTATCCTACAATGCAGCTGATCTGAAAAACAGCTAAACTGCAAATTGCAGTGAGGTATGCAAGGCAAAGGGAGCACTTTAACAGCTTATTTATGCTGGCTCTTCTGTGTTGACCACCAAAGGATCTGAAGTACCTCAGAAATAATAATCAATGTACCCCTGTGGTATTCCTCTGAGGGAGGGAATTATTTTTATTCCCATTTTAGAGGAATAAAAGCAGAGAAAGTTGGAACCTGAATGTTGCACACCCACCTCTCAGGAGGTCCACTGTGCCTTTTTGAAGGGCCTGCCCAGTTACAGAACTGGAGGGAGGAGCCGGAAATAGACTCCAGATTCTAATTCCAGTCCAGTGGATTAATCACCATGATTCCTGGCCTTAACCACAGAAGCTGTCGATTATTTGCTCAGGAGGTTGTTGCTGGGGTTTTTTTTTAAATAACCATATGTAGTGCAAGCGACTGCCTATTTTTTCTCCTCAAACATTTCATGCGGCAAGTGATTGATGCTCTTATCTGGACATTTTGATTCGGAGGTATCCATCCCAAGCTTCAGAAGCCTGTTCATTGAAAATAAACGCCCCCAAAAAGGAAAGTCTCAACGCAGGGTACCAGAACATGCACATACCCCACTGAGATTAAAACCCAGGAAACGCTGCCACCTTCTTACAAGTCAGCCGCCTCTTCCCCGAAGCCACAGGGATAAAGAGGTGTTTTCAGGAGAAGGGTAACAGATGTGTGGCGCTATTCTAGCTGGACAAAAGCAAAACCGGGAGATGAGGCTCCACTCATCACCAAGCAGGCCCTGCGAGTGTTTTAAGCCCAATATGTATTCATGTGCCTTCAAAAGGTAGTTTGGGAGATGTGAAAGCAGGTGGATACTCGTGTAAGCAGGTCCCTGCCTTTGCCTTCAACCTGAGAGGCAGAGCTGTATGGAGAAGTGGGCTTGCTGGTCTGAAGGTCTCTTGAAACGGGGAGCGACACCCCAAGTCAGGCAGGTGCCACCGCAGACAGGGGCCAAGGCAGCAGGCCAGGAGCACTGTGGGAACCGGGCGGCCTTTATTTCGCAGCGAGGCCAGGGGGAGGGGGCGTGGCTGTGGTTGTGCACGGTGCAGGGCCACGAAGGCGCGGGCGGCAGCGGGAGCAGAGCAGAGTAGGGCGGGGCAGCGGCTTACCTGGGGAATCGCTCCTTCAGCCGCCTCAGGCTCTGGCGGGTGGGCTGCACGTGCCCCAGGAACCGGGCGATCTCCTCGTAGTGCGCCTTGCTCAGCTTCATGCCGCAGCCGCTCAGCAGCTCCCCCGCCCGCCCGGCCCGCGGTTGCGCCGGCCTGTGCAGCACCAGCAGGAGACGGCGGGGGCGGCGGTAGGGAGCAGCGCCGCGCTCCCGCGGCGGCGGGAGACAGCCG